GCCTCTTTTAGTCAATAGCAATATAATGTATGAGAAATTGATTTTCCGATGCTTAAAAGGAAGGCCCATATTCTTTGTTCCGTATGTATACTTTTGTTGAAAAAAATGATTTATTAAATTTGAATATTCACTTAATGAAATTTGAAGTATTATTTCATTTTAATTGAATATCATATTAAAAGTCACACATTGATCATTATTCACATGTACGCATTACAATTTAAATGTATTGTTCGGTATGGTAATGTAATTTAAGCAGCACTTAATGAACTATTTCAATTCGTACTGCTTAAAATTGTGAATTTGGTGTTTGAAACTCTGAACTTGAAGTGCCTGGATTGGTATTAGAAATAGGGTACTTGGTTTGGGCTGGATTCAAGAATTAAAAAAATATTACTCCGTAATATGATATGATTGAGTGCATGAGCATTCTGCATGTTATACACGTAGCCACAAGCTTACAAGTGGGGTAATAAGCATAATCATTGTTATCTCAAATGTTTTATGGGGTTTATTTTCGATTATTAGTTATAATAAATTGATTGAGCGCATTGATTTTCATTGTCATTGTTATCCCAATTTTTTTATTTTTCTATTAGCTTTTTATTAATTTTAATGGTCTTAGTTGGAATGATATTATTATTATTACGTATCACATATTTACATGGAGTGGTATTTATGTCATCAAGTTTTGATTAATGTATTTATGTATTATGTTAAACGGTACAAACATTCTAATTATAATTTTTCTCATAATTATAATCTATCTATATACAAACCAAGGTGGAAAATGGCCAAATTTCCCTCTCAAAAACGTCACTATCACATGGTAAACAAATTGGTATTGATTGCATTGGAGCTTTACAAAGCTCTACCCTAAAAGTCTAAAAGATTAGCCAAAGGTTGTTTAATTTACTCCATACTCCTTCCGTTCCGAAAAGGCTGGCCAATTTTATTTTTTCGATGTCCCAAAAAGATTTGCCATTTTCATTTTAAAGTAATGAATATGTGGCTAAAATTAATTCTCTCTTCTCTGCACAAATTTCAACCACACACTTTTGACTTTATTAATTCACGTGCAGTGAAAGCCAACTTTGGCCAACCTTTTCAGGACGGAGGGAGTATAATGTATTGCATCGACTTTGTGTCTTTGGAAGAAGAATTGAAAGTACAAAGACTGCATACCCACTGCTTAGATACTCTAACAAGCTCGACCCTAATATGACTGCTATGAAAGTATAAAGGTATTACTTAGATACCAATTGACAACGTTTGTTAAAGAAACTCCTTAATTGCATGGTTAATAAAACGTTTTTCTTGATTCATTGTTTAAAAAATGTTTTGGAGAGACTTTATACTTCCTACGTGCTAATTAAAATTGTCTGGAATTTTAAATTTTAAAATTTGTCTAGAATTGATTAAATATTTGTATAAGAATGACACAATTATTTAAACAATATTTTAATAAGGTAATTCGAGTATATTTGAGAAAAAGTTTTGATGAATATATAATAAATTGGGACGTTGACGATAATTGTTATGTTTAAAATGCAGGTAGTATTTTTTAATACTTGGTGATTAGTTTGTCATTTGTAAGGGTTAATTGTTTCGTGAAATATACATGAGAACATTTAGTCGGTGTATCTAAAGAAGACAAGCGAGAATCTTAGAACCCGTTTGGTAACATTAGAATCGGCAAAATCTACTGATTCTGTTGAAATTTATAAAGTTCTGACTGAAATGATTGTATCAGTCAATTCTACTGATTTATGAAAAAAAATATAAAATATATTTTAGTAACAAAATAAAGAAAAAATATATATGAAAAATGGCTAAAATGGTCATCTACAGTAACTTCGGCCAATACAGCCGGAAAAGTAAATTCACCCTTGTTTTTTTATTATTACACAATTCAACGAGCGAAATAAAAAATTACGTGTTTGGTTAAAAAGTTGGCTGATAAGGCGAAAAACAGAGTCACCAAACGCGCTCTTAAGCTCGAACTGATGGGGTACTTTATACAAAAGTGGTGAATCTTTTGGTATAATTAAAGTAGGAGAGTTGCCGATAATGGCATTGATATACGGGGTGTATGAAAGAGAATATATAAATAAGAGTAAACTAATGAAAAAGTAAAAATAGAAAGTAATGTATTATTAAAAAAGAAAAAAAGTTAAAGGTAAAAAGTGAATGTATAAAGGTATTTTGATAGGAAAAAAACTTTCTAACAACAGAAACATGGACAAATAAAAAAAACATCTCAAATCAGAATAAGGGACTAATAAAAAAAAGTATGGAGTATAATTTTATCTTCTATTTGAAACAACTAAATTTCATTACTCTCTTTTTTTCTGAAAGATACTCCGTATTATAATGGAATTTAAAGTTCTTTCATTAATTCTACAATTTGAGATAACTAAACTTATATCTTAGGCTACGTGTTGCCTTTCATTTTAGACAATGTTTATAGTACCAATAAAAAGTAAGAGAAAAGGGTCAAATGAGACCTTCTACTATTATGAAATAGTCACATAAGGCCATGTACTCAATAAAGTGTCATATAAGTACCTCTACTTGTATAAAACAATCAAATGAGTCCTAACGGCGTATTTAACACCTCTTAATCTCATTTTTAGCTTACATGTCGATTTTTTGACTTTATTTCAACCGATCTTAGTTAATTATTCGACATATGCCGTATAATGTATTCTAAAAAGATGGTCAGAAGTACGTTGAAACCGGGATTAAGAGGTGTTAAATAGGCCATTATGACTCATTTGATTACTTTTTACAAGTAGAGGTACTTACATGACACTTTATTGAGTACATTGCCTTATGCGACTATTTCATAATAGTAGAAGACCTTATTTGACACTTTTCTCATTAAAAGTAATGATACTTCCCGTCCCATTTTAGTTGTCATACGTTCCTTTTTGGATTATCTCAAAATGAATTTTCAATTTCTCTTTTTGATAAGAAATACACGGTTCTTATCATTTAACTTTATTTTACTAAAGTTAATTCTCAAACACAAATTTTATTTTTTAACCATTTTATTAATAATTGTTTCAAACTAAAACAAGACAACCAATATGAACGATAACACTACTTAAATAGGTTTAAATATATACATGATGTATGTTCGCCCATACATATGTTATACTCCGGGTTATATAAATTCAAATGAAAAGTATTCTGGTCATGCGAGCCTATATAGAGAGTGTTTTATCGCTTCAAAATGTGTGAGTTAGATCAATTTTGATGCAGTAATTCAGTTGTATTTAAAAAAAAAAATACTCCATATTTGATCTCTCATCCCACTTGACTGAACACCAACGTCATCTATTCGAAATTTAGCCACACCCATTCGTTGAAAGTCAAATACAAGTTACAACCCGTATCAACCCATTCGCCCCTCATGGTGATGATTCAAGAGGGGGATGAGCCATCAGCGTCGCCCCTCAGAAACAAGGACGGTAAAATATCTTATGAAATCCGTATACGAACACTATACCTGAATCTCAACACATACTCGATCGATCGCTATAAATGACCGAGACCCGCAAATTCCGATGCTCTCTCTATCTCTACCCGATCCAATCTATATTTTCATATGAATAGATCTATTCTAAGTTTTTGATCTAGTCTAATTTCTATTTAATTTGATTTCTATTCTATTCTATGTTTTTAATTTGATTAAAATAAAAGGATTTATATTTGATTTTCTTTCAATTGCCTTTTGAGTAGCAAGTTCAATAGTCTACATAATTGAGGAATTAACGAACTTGTTTGGTCCTTGGAACTTGGAAGCCATCTGATTATTCTATGTCTCATCCGAGTGCAGTCTCGAATTATTGTATTACTTTATCTTTTGTTACTTTTATCATTAATAAATAAGTTTCTTTTTTGCCAAAAAAGTTTTTAATCCATATGAATAGAACATTTCTTGTCTAAAGTTTCTTTAAACTTTTATTTTCCCGTGCTTGTAAATTATTTGCCTTTTCTTTATAGTCCATTATCTCAAATCTCCTTTTGAAAGCTAAACAATACCACTAATAAATGTTCTATCATTCTTTGTCATATTATTAAGAAAAATGTAATCTTTTACATGCATAGGGTACCTAACGTAGTCTTGATCTCCAAAATCAAAGCTATTACTGTTAGTATTATGTATACTTACTTAATAATTGGAAACTAGAATAGGAAAATTATTTTTTACGCATCCAACAGGCAGCGACGCGTTACGTGCAAATGTCTAAATAAGGTAATAAGCATTTTAACTTTTTAGTACTACAAGTGTTTTAATGTGATTACAGTGAAATAATGTCTACTAAAAGAGTAAAGGTGTAAAGTTAAATATTTAATATGCTGAATGTATGACAAATAGATATAATTTAAAAATTAGGTTAATATTGATGTACTAGTAAAACAAATTGGTATAGTATGTATTAGATTATACGTCATATGATATAGGAATGAAATAATTAATGTGATGGTTTTGGTATTACTAAATTATTTACTTTCTTTGATTTGTCATTTTTATTTATAGTTTCTTGGTTTTTGTTAATTTATTGTTTATAATTTTTGTATTATATATTAGTATAAAAAGAAAGAATAAGTTGATATATTTAGTGAAATTCTCCTTCATGAATTTTTCCTTTGGACATTCACTACGTTATATCTGCAATTTGAATATGCTTTTTCATATGATTTTTTCTGATTTGAATATGATAATTTTTGTTTGTCTGGTACATCCAATGTCCTGGATCCTGAAGACGCCTCTGGTACCTAACATGAATGATTTGTGCCACTTTGTTTTAACACCAATATGAAAAAATGTAATCTTTTACATGCATAGATGAAGTTAAAAGTATAATAGTGTTGTCTAATACTACGTACTATGTAAAAGTTATCCATGTCAACTCCATCTTAAAATTGGTTGTCGGTTAAATATTTTGTTCGGCTGACACAAAAATCCAAACTTTTTATTATTGGGTTAGCTGGCGGGTCCCGCTGTGACTGAACCTGGGCCGAGAGTTCTCACTTTCTGACGAAACGGATCCACGTACCCCCGGGCTTGCGTTAGATCTAAACTCGGCTAAGCACGCCACTCCCCGACGTCTTTCGCCCGACTTCCATAGCACCACTCCACCGTTCTTAAGCCCAGTTTCATAGATCATTTCTTAATCTTCTTCTTCTTCATTGAGATCTGGCCTGACGGACAAAGTCACAAAGGTAAGAGGGTATAGCTAAATCTGCCCTTCATGATATTCAATTGTTGAAATGATTTTTTTAGTATTGTCGTCGTGGTTGTTATCATTTTAATATGGTTGGTTCAATAGGACGGTATTCTGGACTGGAATTAATGGTGCCGGTGACGCCCTCATATTAGCCATCGAACTGATAAGATGGACAAAAATAAGACCCGAACGGATCTCCTTGCTGCAGGCCGGAAAAAGGTTCAACTCTAAATTGTTCTCCATATTTTTCTTTGTTAATTTTAGTCTTGTCAGATTTGTTCTCAAAAGAACACATCACAGTTCAGCGAATTCATAAGGTAGGCGCGTTGTGTACTGAATTCAGCTTACCTGTGCCATAAGCAGGGCCTATCCTAAGAATTTTTTGGCCTGAGTAGAATGGTGTAAAAAGTCCCTTAAGCACCATAAAAAAATAAACAATAATATTTAAAAACAGTAAACCACAACAATTAGCAACGGAATAGCACACAATAGTCTCCAACCAAAATTGACATTTAGAAATAGTAAACCACAATAATTCAAAATATGACGATTTACCGATTTTAGGTTATATATTTAATAGCATTTATACTTAAATACTTACCTGGAATAATGGGATTACATTCTGGAAAGGAATGATTTGACATCTTCCACTCTTATGGACTGGAGAACTCTTCAAATAAAAGCTTGAAGTTGGAATTTGGGAAGCTGCAAATTCAAATTGGGCCTACTAACTATGAGTATATATGTAAAGACATCTAATATATTTTTGGGCCCTAATTTTTTCCCAAAATTGTGGGGCCTGAGGCAATTGCCTCTTTGCCTCAACTATAGGTTCGGCCCTGGCCATAAGACGAGGAATTTATGTGCATTGTGCCTCATATTGATTTGCATTTTGCAGGATTGCTTTCATAAATAATAAATCTAGTCTATCCGCTGCTAATAGAAGTTATGAAGAGATGAACGCTAGATAGAACCATAGTTGTAGTATGTATACATGAAGTAAATTCTTTGACCAATTTCAAAAGGCTTTCATTTTTAAATTTAATGGGTACAGCTTTAAAACTATATAAATGTATCATTTCGCAATCTGTGAAGTCTATATCATACAACATTTTACTCAGCAAACAGAAGACTGTAAATGACAAAGCAAATTAAGCAATGCTGCAAAAATGCATGATACTGGAGAGGAAATAAGCTCCTTAGCTCACAGGTTTTCGTCTGTTTTCGGTTTTTAGTTGATCGGTTTTAGAGACTTTTAGAATAGATGACACTATAATGTTACATATTGTAATTTTGGGGAACCATACGAACTACTCGTGTATTACGGAGTAATAGAAACTAGAATACTAGTAAGACACTAAGACTGTTTGTGGGGGTCATTTGGATCAATGTATTCATAAAATTTTGGCATTTTATATTACAGCACTACTATATTATTACACCATCACTGTGAAAAATGATCTATAACCTAATATGATACAAATGATTTCTTTTTTATAATGTAAACGATATTGTTGTTTTATGAATTATGATAATGTAATAAAAAAATATTTTTTGAATTTTTTTAAGCTCTATCTAATTTTCCTTAACTATGCAGTGTTTATATAGAATATAAAATTACAATATAATGTTACATATTGTAATTTTGGGGTAACTAATATAATTATAGTAGCTCGATCAACTAATTTATCTGCCAGACACTAGTATTCCTGTTTCTATTACTCCGTAACGCGGCGTAGTTTTTATGGTTCCCCAAAATTACAATATGTAACATTAAATTGTAATTTTATATTCTTCATAACAAAGATGCGCATACAGTTTAGTGAGCCATTTTGCTTTACTCCATCATATTCCCAAGTCCAGAAATAGTGAGGCTTTGGCTCCATGGGAAATGATATAAATTAATTGAGTTGACTAAATGTATAAAATGCACCTTACTCAAACATGACTCTTTTTTGGAACGGGGAATGTACATCCATTTTGGGTGTCCAGTGTATTCAATTTAGAGTTTTAATAATCTCTCGGTGACATTTTATCTATCGTTATGACCATTCATTAGCTAGTATTTGTCAATGATATATCATCTACTTTCTATTTTATTTGATTTAATATTGTTTTATAGTTATATAGTCATCTTCCTACGTATTCTCTATAACTTTTGATACAGCTTGTAAATATGTAAGTTTTATTTGCTTATACAAAATTAATTATTACTCCGTATTAAAATTGAGTTGGAATTTCACTATGGGTCATCTGGAAAGGCGGAAACAGTCTCTATGTGCTTTAGTACATGGGTAAAACTGCGTACATCACCCCCTTTCCCCCACCGTAGGTGGGAGCCTTTGCGGCACTTGGGTAATGATGATGATGATTAAAATTGAGTTGGAAATGTCCTCATTATTGTCTCATTACATAATTAGGACACATAAAATGGGACAATTTGGAGTATTTTTTATGGATTTTATAAAATATTAAACTATTAAAGTCTAAGAGAATAAGAAATATATTTTGGTATTTTATTTAGATTCCTATAAAATTTATAAAAATCACGTAGAGTTTACAAAAGTCATTTAAACTCTATTCAAATCTGCCATTTTGTAAGTCCCCTAAGTAGTTTGAAAGTCATAGTTGAATACACCCCTTAAGTTTTTGAAAGTCATAGTTGAATACACCCCATAAGTTTCTTTGTATTGAATTAAGAAAGAGTTTTAATCTTTTCAATGTGCATGATGAATTGCCACATCACCCCATTTATGTTGCAGTGTCAGTCCAATAGTTGTTTAACGGAGAGACCTAAAAAGGGACACTGGGGAGATATTTAAGACCAAAAAAGCATTTTACCCATAATTTTATAATGCTATAAAACATATTAGCTACTTAGCAACCCAAAAGTCTCTTAAGCACCGAAAAAAGCCCAATCATTTAATGTTCTCCAGTGAAATCCCATTACCAAAACATAAGTAGGAAAACTAGGAATCATCCAATGACATGTGCACTCATAATATATCATGAGGGACTGGACATAATCTGTTCATAATGAGACTCCAAGTCTCAGACTGCGACTCATCTGTAGCTTGATGACTGGGAGTCTGGGAGAATATATATGTGTCATTTCAGGATATGGCATTGATGTTTTCAGTAATCTGTACAGGTTATGCACTATTGCACTCAAGTATGTTGGCTTTGAATAGCTGCTAGTCAGTTGACTCAGTTGCTAGAAAGTGGCACCACATAGTCACTCATTAGTAGGAGGATAAGTCATACCTTATTTTCTTTCATCTAAACCTTTGATCTTTGTTTGACATTTTTCATTTGCTACCAGCTTCAACAATTCAGGCAGAAGAACAAAGGGAGTAAGTCCTCTGGCAAGCATAGCAGATCCGGGAGTGATGCACAACACATTCCTGGTACAGAAGGACCATTAGAATGCAGCAATCATGAAATGTCTTTGTCAGAGTGGCATACTATAGAAGACACTGTGGACTCTAGTACTAATCATCCATCTGTAGATGAACTAGAGACTGGAGGACTTGAATCATCAGCAAGAACAAAAGAGTTGGAAATGCAGACAGAGGCGAGTGTGTATGCTGAGGATCCTTGCAAAGTTGAACTTTCTGAAACACTAGCTGAGGATCTAAGGTTTGTTAGTTCAGAGCCAGTACCTGTTGCATCTGAAGAGAAACCTACCAAGTCAGCTCAGCACGAGCCTGATGACTTGGTGACTTATCCCAATTCAGGCAATAATAGCAAATCACTTGCTCCTAGAGTAGATGAGGAAATGCAGCATGGCATAGAGCAGGTAATAGATGTCAATTGTGACCTCTCTCTTGGCATCATTCACTTAAATGTCTTATCCTATTTAACTTTAAAGTTTGATTTATAATTAAGTCTTATTTGTTGCTGGCTAGGGGCAATGCAGGAGCCTTACAATCCAGATCCAGAACAAGTTGATGCAAAGAGTGAGGTAGAGATTGTTGCGGAGAATACACATTGTTTAAATAAGTTTGGTGCTCATGTTATTGATCATGCAACGCCTGGTGTAGGGGAGGGTGGAGTTACTAGGGAAAAGAATGAAACAAACCATCCCATAGAGACGTATGGTGTTACATCAAGTACTATAGGTTATAAAGATGCAGAAGAGAGGGATGTACAATCAATTCCGCTTGAGCCTTTGCATGAGGGAGTAGCTACTGTGAGTCCTCTAGTGGTTTGTAGCCGGACAGAAGGTGTTTCACAAATCCATTGTGTTTCATCTGATTGTGATGGTGGCCACGTGCAAAGGGTGAATCCTTATGGTTCTTTTGATAAAGAAAAAAATGTTCAATTTTCATCTGTCCAAAGTGCTTGTTCAATCAACCTGTCACAGCTTGCAGATGTTGTAAGGAGACTTGATGATGATGAGTTCAAGTCCTTGTTCATGTCTAGAGATTCAGCTGTTAAGGCATTAAAGAGTGCGGAAACTTTGTTTGCATCCTCGTCCACCCTATTTGATGTTTTTGAAAGAATGAAGGAGCAACTATACCTTGCGAGTCTTGTAAAAGATGTCAAAACCGTACAGCTCATGGAAGAGTCAGAGTTACAAATTTCTGAAGCGAATGCATCAGTGAATCAGCTTGAAGACAAGAATGGAAAACTTGCCAATGAGCTTGAACAAGTTAGATCTGAATTAAAGGTGGTTATTGCTGAAAAGAAGGAGCTTCGTGAACTCTTTCAAATCTCAAAAGCTGAGGTTGTAGATCTTTCTGCCAGAGTTGATGAGTTGCAGATTAGATTAAACATGTCTATGGAGGACCTTGACAACCTCTCAGCAGAGTTGGCTGCCTGCAAAAATTTGGTGTCAGCTTTTGAGGCTGAAAAGGAAAACCTGGGTGCAAATCTTGATTTATTATCTGAGGAGAATAAGAAGCTTGAGGACGAGAGGGGGAGCTTTGTGACTGAAATTGAGAAATTAGGAATGGAATTGGCACAATGTAAAAATTCATTTCTATCATTGCAGTTACAAAATCAAGATTCTAACGAGAATCTTACTTTTTTGAACGCAGAGAGATGTAAGCTTCAAATGGAAAAGGAATATTTTGTCTGTGAGAATGATAAACTACTTGCTGAAGTGGCAGACTGCAAAAAAACAATAGAAGCACTTCATGCAGAGGAGACAAACTCAAATGTGCTTTTAAAATCAGTAACCGAAGAGTCCAAAAAGCTTTTGGAAGAAAAACACTCTTTGCTTAATGATTCCGTGAATCTAGAAGCAGAGTTGAGCGTGTCTAAGGTTTCAATAGAAGCTCTCCAGAAGGAAGTTTTTGATAAAAGTACACACATGACCTCTTTAATGGAGGAAATAAATAAGCTTCATTATGAGAAGCAACAATTACTCATCAAGAATGAAGAATTATTGCGGGAGTTGACTGAATCAAAAGACTTGGCTGCTCATCTGCAGGCACAATGTAGTGTGGCTGTAGATGACCTGAAGTGTGCAACTTTGCGAAACGAAGAACTAGCTGAAGAAAATTTGCATCTGAGCAGTAGTTTGGAATTACAGGAGTCCAAGATCAAAGAATTTGAAAGCCAAAGTAAGTCACCCTCTAAATCTAAAGAAGCTGGAAGTCGATCTGCAGGCGCCCATTCTGCAGTCCAGGCAGAAGATAGTGTAACTGATAGTGATGGGTCATCTCGTTTTTCTAGTGAAGGTGACTGTGTAAATTTCTTCTCAAGGATCCACAATATTTCATCTGATTATATGCAGAATGGTTTGCTTCAGTTTCAATTTATCAAAAAACATCTTGGTGAGGCAGAAAGGGTACTTGCTGATCTTGAGAAGACTGTTGAAGTGATTCACGCACACTCAGCAAGGGGTGAAGTGATCACCCCCAGAATATCAAAACTCATTCAGGCTTTTGAGTCAAAAGGCCACATGAATGACAATCTTTCTGAGGATCAACATCCATCAGAAAATCATTCAGATACAGATCCTTGTGTGCTTTCTAAGAAGCAAATATTAAACCTACACGGTTTGCTTAAAAATATACTTCTAGAATCTCAAAATGCTTGCAAATTATTTGAAGGAGAGATGAGGAATAACATTGAAGCTGACACCATGTTTGCAGAGCTGAAAGCTAAACATGAGTCTTTAGTTCAGCACTCTGATCTTTTGGAACACACAAACATGGCGCTAATGGTTCTCAATGAAACTTTAGCCCAGTGTATCAGCAATGCCAAATCAAAGGAAGGAGACTTTAGGGCACTTTACGAATCACTGCAGAACAATCAAGCCACATTGATTACAGAGAACAGTTATCTTAGGGAAGAATTACACAACCTTCATACTAGAACTGGTGAATTGCAGCATCAGCTGGCTGATATGCAACAGAGCTGCAATAAGATGGTTGCATCTTCTTCTAATCAAGTGGAAGCTCTTAAGAAAGAAGTGGCTGACAGGGAGTCAATACGGGAGGAAGAGTGGAATTCTCTTGTTTCTGAGGTTATGGAGAAACTAAGTAAGCTAGACTCGTCTACTGTAACTGCTAGCTCCTCTTTGTTAGCTGGAAGAGAAGGATTTGATCGCCTTGGTCTAATCAGTCATATTGCTTATTCTGTAGACAATGCCATTAAATTGATTGATGCTCTGCAGGAACAAACTGAAGCCGCTGTCAGTAGCTTCAATGAAATAAATAAAAGGTTTGATGTCCTACAAGCTGAGAAGGAGATGATAGTTGGTCTAATTTATAGGGTCTACAGGAATCTCGTTGAAATTGTTGATGAGATGCCTGATCAAGTAGGAGACGCTGAAATTACCACAAATAATGAGAGACCGGCAGATCCTTTTCTTCCTGGTGTTTTTGACACCCTTTTGGAACAGTTGCGGAAGCTAAATAGTGAGCGCCTGCAAGTGGAGCCTATGAATTCTGAGCTCACTTCAGAAATGGACAAAAGTAAGGAATTTGAGGAACTGAAGAAATGTTTCTTTGATTCAGATTCTATGTTAAAGTGTGTTGGATTAGTTGAAAGTGTGATTGCACTTGATGGAGTTGATATCAATGTGGACCAACCTGCTATCTTTGTACAGTCTCTGACTTATTTCTTGGTTCAAAAATACAAAGATGCCATTGGGCAGGTGAGTCCATTTTATTTACAAAAGTTCCTAATATTTATATGCATGGACATTCATATATGCAGCGGACACAATATAATAGTTTTACTCCAGCCACTCTAAAAAAGAGTTCTCTTTCAAACTTTTTATTTGTCCCAAAAAGAGACATTTTTTTATCAATCGAAGCTAATATTTCACTTAATGTACTAAAAAAGAGTCGCAAAATAGTTGCATATGGTAACTTTTTTAAAATCAACAAATAAATTTTAAAAACATATGTAGAATTATGATTTATAGAAATTGCACTTCACCAAAATTTAGAAGTTGTATCTTGGTCAAGGATGACCCTGTTTAGGACATACACTGTATATTTCCCTATTAATGATTGATTCCCACCCATGTAATATTTCTTTTCCTTGTTCTGCAGGCAAAGCTGCTCACAGAGAGTGATGCTTCCAAGGAAAAGCAAATAATTAATTTGCAAAAACAAACGGATGAGCTCAGTTTGTTGTGCACCCAATTGGAAAATGAGAATTTCATTCTCAAAGAAAGCTTGAGGAAATTGAAGGAGGATGCTGCGGCTCTACACTCACAACTAAATGAGAAGGTTTCTGATACTGAGCAGTTAGATCAGCGCGTGGCATCACTTAGAGAAAAGCTCAGCATAGCAGTTTCAAGAGGGAAAAGTTTGATTGTACAGCGTGACGTTCTTAAACAATCTCTTGCAGATACGTCAAGTGAACTGGAGAAACTCTCACAGGAATTGCATTTAAAAGATTCCAGGCTCCATGAACTTGAGATGAAACTCAAGACCTGTTCAGAGGATTCTGAGCGGATGGAAGCTCTTGAATTTGAACTCTCTTACATTCGAAATTCTGCTACTGCATTACGTGAATCATTCCTTCTCAAAGACTCGGTTCTTCAGAGAATAGAGGAGGTCTTAGAAGATTTGGAGCTCCCAGAACACTTTCATTCCCAAGGTATTCTTGAAAAAATTGACTGGCTGGCCAAGTCAGTGTCTGCAAACTCTGTGCCCTTAACTGATTGGGATCAGAAAAGTGCTGTTGGAGGATCTTACTCTGATGGAGGAACTGGTGTCATGGATGGCTGGAAAGAGGATACACAACAAAGTTTGAATTCTTTAGAAGACCTCAGGGTAAAGTATGAAGATCTGCAGAACAAATTTTACAGGTTAGCTGAACAGAATGAGATGCTCGAACAATCTTTGGTGGAAAGGAACAATCTTGTTCACCATTGGGAAGCTATCCTGGATACAATAGAAATGCCTTCACAGCTGCGGTCTGTGGAGCCAAATGATAAGATTGGTTGGGTTGCTTTTGCCCTTTCAGAGGCTCAAAACTATTGTAATTCTCTCCAGCAGAAGAGTGATAACTTTGAAACTTTGTTTGAGGAGTCAAATAGAAGATTATCTGAGCTTGAAGCTTCATTCGAATCCACCGTCAATGAGAAAGAGGTGATCACAAGAATGCTAGAGACTGTTACTTGTGATCACGAGAAATTATCAGAAAAGGCTGCCCAATTTGCAACCGAGAATAATGAAATGCAAAATGAGATTAGTTCTTTGCAAGAAAAATTGGCTGAAATGCTTGGGATAGAGGAACACATTCATCATATTTCGGGAGAAATAAAAAGATTGCAAAATCTGGTTAGGGATGCCATCCATGACGATGTCACTGATGATCAACTACTTGGTGCTGATGGCATTAAATATTTGGAGCAATCACTGAGAACGCTTATACAAAAATATACTGAACTATCTTTTAGCAAAGCTGTTGATGAAGATGCAGCAGTTGAACATGTTTTGCTGGTTGATGGGACTGAAAGTGAACAAGGAACAAGTGAATCAAGGTATGCTGAGGACAGAAAGATGGGGGGTGATGTGGGTGACAAGCTATGCTTGGAGGAGGAGAGAGCTAGTTTTGTGGGGAATAATCAATCTTTGGTTTCTGAAATTGAAGCTCTGAATAAAAAAAATAAGGAATTGTTGGAGCTGCTTCATCAGGAGGAGCTGAAGAATCAATCATTGGTTTTTAAAGTTGAAGCTTTGACTACTAATAAGAAGGAATTGCATGAACTACTTAGTCAGGAGGAACTGAAGAATCAATCTTTGGTTTCCAAAGTTGAAGCATTGAATGTAAATATGGAAGATTTGCAGGTACTGCATAGCCAGCAGGAGCTAAAGAATCATTCTTTGGTTTCTGAAGCTGAATCTCTGAATATGAAAAGTATTGAATTGCAGCAACTGCTTAGTCATCAAGAGCTGAAGAATCAATCTTTGGTTGCTGAACTTGAAGCTCTGAATATGAACAAGAAAGAATTGAAGGAACATCTTAGTCAAGAGGAGCTGAAGTCAGCTTCCTTAAGGGAGAAACTAAATGTTGCAGTTAGAAAAGGTAAGTCATTGGTACAACAGAGGGACAGCTTGAAGCAATCAATTGAAGAGTTAAATATTGATCTGGAAAACTTAAAATCTAAATTGAAACTCCAGGAAACTGTTATTTCAGACTTTGAGCAAACGATGAAAGATCAGTCTGTATTACAAGAAAAAATGAAGAGCATAGAATCTGATAATGTGCTTCTGAGAAGTCGTTTGGCTGAAACTGAGTGCTATTCACAGGAGAAAGATCATATTTTGGCTAATATTTTAAATATTTTTAATGGAACCAACCTTTCTGCCCTGTCTAGTATCAGTAGCCCCGTTGAGAAGGCCAAACATGTCAGCAGTGTCTTCCTAGATTTACAATCTGCTCTAACCTCTTCTGAACAAGAGGCAATAAAATCCAAAAGAGCAGCAGACCTGCTGCTCGCTGAATTAAACGAAGTCCAGGAAAGAAATGATGGTCTCCAAGAGGAGTTAGAAAATGCGCTCAGTGAGGTGTCAAGGTTATCCAAGGAAATGGATTTTGCTGACTCTGCTAAAAATGAAGCAATAGAGAATTTTGAAAAATTATTTGCTGCCCACTCTGAAGAAAGACAACATCAATTAGCTGAATTTGTGGAACTAAAAGCCAGCGTGGAGCAATTGAAGGTTGATCTCTCTGTTGTTAGAAGTTCATTCAGAGATGTGCTTTCAAACTATTTGGAGATTTTGCACAATGTTGGAGCGAACCTAAATGTGTTCACAGAATCAAGTGATGCTTTGACTAGTGTTGCCCTTATGGGAACTGCTGTTCCATGTTGCACTTTCTCTATTACAACAGAAAACAAGGTACTAGCGGTCTAAATTTTCCTGATTTTGTTGCTTTGGATATGGGTTTATTTCTCTTTTGATTTGCTACAACTTGACACCATGTTCATCATCATCATCATCATCACCATCATCACCCCAGTACCGCAAAGGCTCCCACCTACGGTGGGGTAAGGGGGGTCGGATGTACGCAACCTTACCTGTGTACTAAAGCACAGAGAGATTGTTGTTGGATGACTCATTGTGAAAATCACGTCAAAAATTGCATGGACCGACTCTGCTTCATAACAAAGAAGCAAAGATAGTTTAGTGAGCCATTTTGCTTTATTCCATCATATTCCCAAGCCAAAGAATAGCGAGTCTTTGGCTCCATGGCAAATGATGGAAAACTTGACACCATGTTCAATCATACTTAAAAATATGTCAAGTGACAATCTTGGTTTATAATGCATCAGTCATTTTTATCACACCCAGTCATACTTAAATATGTCAAATGACAAGCTTGGTATAATGCCATCTTCTCAATCACTAGATCATTGTTATGTTGCCCTGGTCTGTGTATCTCCATGCCTGGTAACAATATCTTAAATTATGTTAAATTGGCTAATTCAGCGTATCCGCTTCTCCTTATTTTTAATGCAAGCATCTCATTATTGACCATGCTCTTCAATATTGTCAAGATATAACCAAAAATGCTTTCATGAAGTTTTCCAGTAAGTTCCTAAGTGCCTTCAATTTATTGTTTATGCTGTTAATCGGGTAAAAGATGAATTCTTTTATATTTAGTACTTCTGTAGCACTTGGTAGATTTTCTTCTTCTTTTGAGTACTTGGTATTTGGTGAGCTGGGTTCAGTATGAAAAGATTATGAAGTAAAAAAAATGAAATTGCTCCTTAAAAATGAAGTAAAAGATTATTACATCCTAATAAATGTACAGTTTGTCAACTGTTGGCAAATATTCCGTATCATTTTCAGTAAAGGTTTAGACATTCTATCTGGCAGTTGTACTAATTTACTACCTTCAACTATGGACATAAGCAAATATTTCAGCCACTTGGCCTTAGCTAAGTAGCTTGTGAACTTTTTTGTGATATTACATTATTATGTGATATTTCCCTAATATTTTATACTCCCTCCGTCCCGAAAAGGTTGGCCAAAGTTGACTTTCACCTGGATTAATAAAGTAAAAACTGTGTGGTTGAAATTTGTGCAGAGGAGAGAGAATTAATTTCAGCCACATATTCCTTACTTTAAATGGAAATGACAAATCTTTTTGGGACATCCAAAAAAGGAAATTTGGCCAACCTTTTCAGGACGGAGGGAGTATGTATCTGGATATTTTTTGTGCATAACCAGCTTTGCTCTTTTACTCATAGGACTGGTTATGAATAACTGAAGTTCCACATAACTTTAGTTCTAAAAATTGTGTATCAATTCTTAGTAAGGAACAGTTGAAATTGAGTTTTATCATAATTAAACATAATCTTGAACTATATTGTATTGTGCATTTGCAGGCCTTTGTTGTAGAACTGAGTTCTATTAGAGAAATGTTAGATGAGCACTGCCAACTGATGTACGACGAAGCTAGACATATAACTGAAAGTTTTGGACGTATTCAGGAAGAGATAACGTTACAAAAACAGTTATTTGACTCAATGAAGAAAGACATGGCAGATCTAAAATGTATCGGGAAGGAGAAAGATTCTGAACTGCTTCAGATGCGTGGATACAGTTCGTTGCTTTATGAGGCTTGCACTAGTGCAGTTTATGAAATTGAGAATGGGAGATCACAGTTTTTTGGAAATGATTCTGTCTCTTCTGTTCCTAGAAGTACTTCGGTATCCTGGAATTCTGTTGGTGATGGATCGACCAGAGACAATAACCCTTTCTCTGAAGATACCATTAGGTCTGTTTGTGAGAGATTGCTTATAGCTGTGAAGGACTTGGTGAATATGCAAATGGAGCTGGTTGAAGTAAACCAGAAGGACAATAAGGCTGCTATGTCAAATCTACAGAAAGAACTTCAACAGAAAGATATCCAGGGAGAGAAAATTTGTAGGGAGCTAGTTAGTCAGATCAAAGAAGCTGAAGCTGTTTCGAGTAATTACTTGCAAGAGCTTCAGCTGGCAAAGGTTCAGGTAAATGATTTACAAAGATATGTGAAGTTAATGGAAGAGGAGCAAACTAAATTGGAAGATAAAATAAAAGAATTGCAAGATCAGGGAGCTTCCCTTGCTGATGCTCAGAACAGAGTTGAAGCACTTGAAGGCATGATAGCTGCAAAGGAACAAGGTATGCTGGATCTGAGTTGTACAGCTGCATTTTCATTTGTGATCCTCACTTTATCTGCACTATCCATTTGTGGTCACTCTTATTTCTTGGGAACATATGTGTATATTTGCACTTGTTGTTGGCGTACTTTTGTATATTAAATATAGTGTTCCTTTCAGAAAATGAGGCACTGATGCAAGCGCTTGATGAAGAAGAAGCTCAAATGGAAGATATGTCAGCCAAGATTGGTGAGCTTGAAAGAGTTTTGGTGGAAAAGAATAAAGATGTGGAGAGACTTGAAGTTTCGCGTGGGAAGGCTCTGAAGAAGCTTTCTGTCACAGTAAGTAAGTTTGATGAACTCCACCATCTATCTGAAAACCTGCTATCTGAGGTTGTGTCACTACAGTCACAGTTACATGAGCGAGATGGAGAAGTATCATTTTTGAGGCAGGAGGTTTCTAGATGCACCAATGATGCACTAGCTTTAAGTCAGACAAGCAGCAAACAAAACAGTGCTGAAATTTATGGCTTGTTGACGTGGTTAGACAAGACAATTTCTGGTCTGCAAGAAAGTGATGCAATTCTTGATAATGCAAAAGTTAATCATGTCCATGAATATCAAGAAAGTCTACAGAAGCAACTCTTGTCTATTGTGTCTGAACTGGAGGGTCTACGTGCTGCTACACAAAGTAAAGATCTGCTGTTAGAAGTGGAGAAAGCTAAAGTAAAAGAACTGTCACGAAAAGAAGATATTCTTGAAAATTCCTTGCACGAGAAGGATGCTCAATTGGCCATACTAAGAGCTGGAGACCCTAGACCTGTAACTAGTACAAGCTCAGAGGTTGTGGAAATAGAACCACTGGTATGCCTTTCTTTTGATAGGTTCTATCTTAGGAGATTTCATGAACTTCCACTTGTGTTATTTTAGTTTTGACCGAGTTCATTTTTTACCTTGCTGTTTATTTTCTGTTCTCATTGAGATCTACTGACATGAAATATGAGACAAATCCAAACATACTGATGATAAAAAGGAAAGGTGAGGATATTTTTATGAACATTCTTGGTCAATCTCCGAATGAACTCCCTATTATAGTGTCACCAAAGCTAGATGCAACTATATCATTGTTGGTCAACTATTGTTCAACATGTTGCTAAGGAAAGCGTCACATCGCAAAACCCTTGAAATCTATGTTGATTAATTCAAACCTCTAATATTATTTATATACATACGATGAGGTGAAAACATGAAATATCATTGTAGTCCTAAATTCTGATTTTCCCAGCTATTTCACATCATCATCAAGCATCAGCAGACTTTGTCTAACGGTTGGGCAATGGTTTCTTTAAGTATTTCTTTCTTATTTTCTGGATAGATAAGTTTCAAAGCTTATTTTGTAGATTGTAACATTATATAAAATAAATACTTATCTAGAGACTGGTTTTTACTGAGGGTGAGAAGGCAATAGTGACGACAAAGAAACTGCTGGTGTTAGCAGTTAGCCAGTTAGGGCTTGATTGGTTTTTGTTTTGATGTGGCGTTGAATAATTCAGCCTTTTTTTGTCAATGTCATCATTGCTATAGAGTTTCTTGTGGTTTTTAAGTCATCATGTGAAATTTCAGTTTCTTATGAAAACGTGAATTTTTAATATTTTTAAGGGAAAAATAATTAAAATATCCCAAACTTTGAAGAGGTGTGGGATGAGCACCCTAAACTTGCATATGTAATTTAAATACCCCAAACTTTGTATAAAAAAGTTATTTTAGCACCATAGTCAAATATTATTTTTTTCGAAAATGTAAATTTATGTTGTTAATTGCATAATTTAAAATATTTTATAATTCGTGAAGATACAATCAACATTCTAAACTTCCATTGCGAAATAAATAATGTTACCCCCAATCTATATAATTGCAACACTTTTAATTTACTATTTTAAATTATGCAATTAACCCCATAAATTTACATTTTTGAAAGAAATAATACATGACGATGGTGTAAAAATAATTTTTTATATAAAGTTTGGGGCATTTAAATTACATGTGCAAGTTTGGGGTGTTTACCTCACACCCTTTCAAAGTTTGGGGTATTTTTATGGGAAAACTGTCAAATAGGTCCTCGAACTTTCATAAAAAGTCAATTAAGTCCTTCTATAGGAGACTCTGTCCGGTCGTCACGATTTGGGGCGGTTCCCGGTGGAATATTTTGATGAAATTTTTTGAGCATCTTATTCATCAAGTCTAGTTTACTCATACCAAATTTCAGCTAAAAATTTAATCGGGAGCGCATTCAAATTAATTCGAGAACGCAAAAATGCGCAGTTATCTTCAAGAATTAATTTGAATGAGTTCCTGATTGAATTTTAGCTCAAATTTGGTATGAGTAAACTAGACTTGGTGAATAAGATGCTCAAAAAATTTCATAAAAAAAACCCACCGGGAACTGCCCCAAATCGCGACGTCCGGACAGAACCTCCTATAGAAGGACTTAATTGACCTTTTTATGAAAGTTCGAGGACCTATTTGACAGTTTTCCCATATTATTATTATTATTATTATTATTTTTCCCTATTTTTAAATACACCCTGCTTTATTTACAAATTTACGGTTCACTTATAAAGTTATAAACAATTGGTCCCCGTTCAACATAACAACAAACCAGGTTCAATTTTAACCCTCAACTCCCTGTTAAAAAGCGAATTTCCTTTGCGCCTCCATGCATCAATATAATTTCTTTTTTCCTTATTGCCTTTCTCTCTCTTTGATGTTTCCTCCAAAGGCTTTTCGATATTTTTTGTGGCCGCCTCGTTGCTCTAATACCATGTTTTTTATGGGTAGTATGTTATTTCTTGATTGTATGCTTGCTTGTCTGCTATTCTGAAGTTGAGTAAACTTTTAGCTATTATTTGGTTTTGGTGGTAATATGCTAATTTCTCAAATTCAGTATTTGATCACTGGAAAGTGCTCAACCATTTGGTTACTTGATTTTTTTGAATACATTGCACTTACCCCTAACCAAATTTGTTTTTCTACTATAGTTTATGGAGCCACTTAACATTGAATTTACAATAATATCAATATTAAAATATTACGTAGTATAAAACTAGATGGTGAAGATTTTATGTGTTAGGTATATTTGACAGCATGATTTTAATTTGTGATTCCAATGCAGAACAACAAGTGGGTCCCACCTGGATCAGTAGTCACTTCTCAAGTTCGCAGTTTGCGGAAAAGCAATAATGACCACGTTGCTATTGCGGTAGATGCGAATCCTGTTGGTGGGGTGTTGGAAGATGAAGATGACGATAAGGGTAATTTCAGCATACTTCCACTGAAGTTAATTTCAGCATATTGTTCGTTGTTCTTTTAGAGATATCGAAGATCGTTTCTTTGTATTATATATATATATATATATATATATATATATATATATATAGGGAAGAGTTCAAATGAAAAGTGGTCTTCCCGTGCAAAGTGCAAAGTTTTCACTTTTTCACGTTTCGCTTGCACTTTTTGTTGTTTGCGTTGCACTTTTTGGCCATTTTGATTTTGGCCAAATTCAGCCAAAATGACGGTGGCAGTTTTGTAAATAAACCATTTTTTGAGCTACCGCGAAAATGTGCAACGAAAGCAAGAAAAAGTGCAAGCGAAACATGAACAAGTGCAAACTTTGCATGTTAAGACCACTTTTTATTTGAACCATCCCCTATATATATATTCTAACTTAAAACAATATTTCATCTGCTTGGAACTCGCAAGACACAAGACTATAAATGATGCTTTTTTAAATGTTAGTGCACATACGCTTTAGTTCATAAGGATGCAAAGAGACTTTGTTTTTTTTTCATAATCTGCATCACACTCGTCCTTCCTAATTAAATAATGAATTATACCCAAGGAACAAATGAATTGCCAGGATGTTATCTTGCCTAGTTACAATGGCTTAGTGGATGGCTATCTATTGATGTATAGATCCTGTTATTGTCTCTTTCTAGTGATTTCACATATAAAGATCTCTTTGTTTACTTAACATGATTATATTCATGCTTATTGTTGTTGGCCATGCCTTTCTCATCTTGTGCCTTAATTTCAGCACATGGTTTCAAGTCACTTACGACCTCTAGAATAGTTCCCAGATTTACAAGACCACTGACAAACATGGTAGATGGTTTATGGTAAGAACATTTCATCCCCACTTGGAAGTAAGATCTGTAAGTGAATTTGATATACGTTAATTGCATGTTTCTGTGTTCATCCAGGGTGTCTTGTGATCGAGCTCTAATGCGACAACCTGCATTGCGGCTTGGTCTAATATTATATTGGGCTGTTTTACATGCTCTTCTTGCAGCTTTTGTTGTGTGAAAAACTGTACAGGTAAAAGCACTCCCTCCATAATTTGTGCCTATCCTCGGTGTTCTTTACTCTCCCGGAGGCTTTTTCCACCTCAAAGTGTTGCTGCATTTTATGTGTGTGGGGGGGAGGGAGTATTTTTGGGCATTTTTGGATTGAGGGGGTTGAACTTTAGAGGGGATGGTTTTTGAGGTGTAGACTATTAGGAAGGGCATGTTTGGATTACGGGTGTGGTTTTAGGGGTTTAGTCTCTAATTCTCTATCTTCATATACATTTGAGATTTTATAAAAAATAAAAGATGAACATAATATGTACATGTATATGTAATGTATAGCAGTTGAGTAACCTTTATTCGTTTTATGGCTCTTTCTATTTACAAACATATTATCCTCCATTTTTTAATTCCAACGTTTTGAATTTTACACTATTCACATGTTCTACTTTGACTACATTTTATTTATTAATATATGATTTTTTTAAATATTATTCAATTCGTCTCATTACAAGTTTAATTCGTCTCACAGCTGCATATTAGTAAATATGCAGCAGTGAGCATTAAAAAAGAACGGAGGAGGTATATCATTATTATATACCAAGTCTTCAAGGGCTTTATCGGAACAGCCCTTTTATTCACTTCTAGCACACTGCACACAGATGACGCGTTTTTCCTTGTATAGACAGACCTCTTGTTATAAGTCACGATTTAAGGAAGGCAAGGTGGTCAATAGCCATTAGTAGACTAGCACATGGCATTGGTGCAACTTGTCATTGAGCAATTCATTCTAATATTACTGTGCACTAAAATATGTGAATGATTTTTTAAATTCTATATTAAAATATCTGTCATATTTAATAGGGGAAAATAATTTAAATATCCCAAACTTGTAAGGTGTGACATAAGCACCCTAAATTTACATACATAGTATGTAATAAAAATACCCCAAAATTTATATAAAAATTATCTTAGCACCATTATAATATGTTTTTCTTTCACAAATGCAAATTTATAGTGTTAAAGTATAAAATTTAAAATACTTTGGGCATTTATAAGGATGAAATTATTAATCTAAGCTTCAATATTTGAAATAAAAAACATTAACAAATAAGTTTATATTGTTAATTGCACACTAAAAAACGCTTAGAATATTTAAATCACGTAGTATATACTTAACACTATAATTTTATCAAAGAAAAACATATTATCATGATGTTAAAAACTTTTTATATAAAGCTAGGGGTGAATAGATTTGCAAGTTTGAGGTGTTGCTCAAAAGTTCAGGGTGTTAAAATTATTTATCCCTCTTTAATAATGTCTGGTAGTAGCCATTTTCCTGACACAGATCTGAGGTGACTACTGAAAACGCTTGCCTATATGCTACGGAGTAAGGATCAATTCTTGGTGTACACAAAATGTGTACACAAATTGTACACAGGCAATTTGTGGGTTTTTGGCATCAAATCATTCCCCTTTTCAAACGAGGCAACTAGGGGGTTTAACCCATGTACACTAAGAAATTTTCCAGAGTAATATAGAGGGATAGCGTTAGCTAGCCGCAATCCACTGGATAGCACAAGTAGTGATTGAAGAAGCAAGAACAATAAAATACACGGTAAAGTAAAAATAAAAAAAAAGCAACGACAAGAGAAGGATAATTGTTACTCCGTATTTCGATACAATTGACATTAATAACCCCATGTTTTTAGTGCCCCTCGTTTGGGAGGATGGTTTCGCCTGAACCTCACCCGTACCATATTTCTGCATGCACCTTCCTTTACACTTTTGGCCTGCCAAGTTTCTTGCATTTTTTAACATTAACTATTAAGCGAAGGATTCTTCATGCCCATGTTCTCTGATAACCTTATTTCGATGTCTTGATAATAATGTTCTACAGGTTCCTGTGTTGTTTTGGTTTGGCAGCAGGGGGGATCCACAATTTATTCCTCTACCGTGTCCCTTCAATGGATTTTGTTGGGGTTAAATTTGCGGCGAATTCCTTATTTTGGTCAACCTGGAATTCTGATTTGCACGGTCAAAAGTCAGTGTCTCCATTCCAATAAGAACCATAGCAGTAGGGCATAGAATGAGATTGTGTAGACAGCAATATTTTTTTACAAAAAAACAGGAACAGGTTTTTATAGAAAACCTCAGGTATTCGTATTATATGGCAATTGTAATTTCTTATCCCCATTTTCACTGGTGCTGGTGTAGTATATCACTAATTCACTATATTGTAAGTCAACAGTGATCAATTAAATGACAATTTTATTTATGGCATACTTCAAATAAAAAGATCGCTTAATGTGAGTTATGTTAATTATACTTTTACTTTGTTGCGTTGAGTTTTGTGTTCAAATGTTGCACTTTTTAGCAATTCTAAAAAGTGTGGTAGTTGAACATGCAAGTACATCGTGAAAGTGAAAGTGAGCAGAAATTTATACTCCCTCTTAATTATATTAAAAATTTTATATATCAAATTTTTATCGAATTTTATTTTGGTTTTTGTGACTTTGTAAAACTTTTAATATAGTTTATGAATATGTATTTATTTTAAAAAGTAATTTGGTGTGAGCATGAATCTGTTTACGTTATCGTTGGTCAAAAGGGAGTATCTTAAATTGTAATGTCTCATTCTTAATGGGACAGTTCAACAAAGGGAGTATCACGTTAATAACTCTATTTATTTGAATGGAGTTGCACGCATGAATACCGTGACTACGGGGAAGTGCTCTTTACCGGGCACATTTATGTTCAAATGGTGCTTCAATGATGGCAAAGTAAATTCACCTTATCATTAGTATGTCACTCTTTTTAGAGCATCTACATTCATGCCCCTCAAGTTTAGGATTTTTTATGTTTTGTTATTGTAATGTCTTCAAATAATCTCAGTTTCTCAATCATGATATCTAAATAAATCATTCACATCATCAAAATAATTCGCAAATAAACTCATGGATGAGGATGACCTTAATGGACATGTGGTTTGATTGACATTCACATCATCAAAATAATCCACAAATAAACTCATGGATGGGATGCCCTTAATGGACATGTGGTTTGATTGACATGAAATTATTCAAAATTTAAACATGTTTTTTTGTAAGTATTGCAAACAAAAATGCTATGTTCTTAGTTCTAACCCTTTTGATATATCAAAAGTGGAGATGAATCATTTTAAAAGGAGTAAACATTACTTGGCTTTAAACATAACATTTTTTTTAACTTGATATTAATTATTTCTATTTATTTAGAAAATAAAAGCATAACAATTTCTGTTTGAAATTTCAAAATGTTTTTACTCTTATTTTGATAATTTTTCCTTTAATAAATCAGATACATAACCCCCTTGAAAAATAAATTTAATTGTCGAATAAAATGAATATCATTACTGTTTTTGCACTCTGTATAATTTATATATCTTGAAAAATTTAGTTTGCATGTTTAATTATAACATAGACACATGATCTCAAATTGCTAAGTTACTTCAGGTGTCATGTTTAAGTATAAGACATGTGAGATTGACATATTCTTTAAATCAGCTAATGGAATAATTTGCACATGCAATCTCGAAATAGAACTGAAAACGCTTTAATTTTTTTAAATAAGAATAATATATTTTTATTTTCCGAATAAGACTAATTACTGCAAAAAATGAAAGATAACATTTTCAAACCATGATTGTAATTACTTGAAATGAAAATATAATATTACTATTTTGGAGTTGATAATTTCTTATTTATACTACTCCATTCGTCCCGCTAACTATGAGACAAAAGAGAGTGACACACAAATCAATAAAAAGTGGTTTATGTGGTTGATATTGAATTGATAAAGTAAGAATAAAGTAAGAATGATTTAGATCAAGACAAAATTTGCCAAATTTGATATGAGACAATCTTAGTGGGACGGACCGATAAGGTATAGCGAGACGGAGATAGTATATACCTAGGATAACACTAGTAGGAAAAATAATTACTGTGTTAGACAAGAAAACATGCTGGTTAGTGTTCTGCACTTTTGCTGTGTAAAAAATGCTGTCCAAAATTCCCGAAAAATAATTGAAGTTCTTGTCTAAGTATCTACCTACCCTAAGCCTATTTCGATTGCCAGAATATCGTAACCTTTAAAATGCGGCGTTCGGGTCATACCCGGGTCACAGACAAAACCCCTTCCTTCTCTTTCTACTTCAAAAACCAGCAAGAAAGCCGTGATCTGCCATCACTGTTGTATAGCTAATGGTAAAGTTTCTATCCCTTTCGATCTTTCTTTATCTTATTCCATATAGTTGTATCGTTTTTTTTTCAATTTTAAGATTTGAGTCACTTTCAAATGTTAGGGTTCGGAAATTACTTCAACAGCAGTTTGTCTCTATACACTGGGCATGCCATATGTGCACTTAGGGATCTCGAACTTATATTCGCGATTGCGTAGCATTCTTTCTTTGAGTTCGCTGTAACAATTTTATTAGGCTTCAAGGTTCAATTTTTGAAGCACCTTTGTGGTAGTAGGCTAAATATGTGGAGAGTTCCAAGTACTTATCTTTAAAAAGGTGTATTTCTGAGGTCATTGAGTGACACTCCCTGAATGTTGGACACTTCATTGCACATATGCGTTTCATATTAAAAGGAAAGTAGAAAAAATAAATGGACTTTCATCCGCGTTTATTGAACTAATTGGAAATACTAATTTAAGGAAGTATTAAGTATGTATAGTATTTTTTTCAAGGAGACCTGGGGTGACTGGGTGAGAGTTTCATAGGATCTTTGATCCGTTAGATGGACAAAACAAAGGGTCAAGCCAACTATTTAGTATACAAACAGCACCATATGAGGTGTAAGAGACTTTCCAAGCAATGAACACAATTACTTAAGTCTTCCACTCTTCCCGCTTTTAATGTTTGTATTCAATTGCATAACTACATAAGTATTTCCTTTATACAACAACATCCAAGCCTTATTCCCAAAAGATTTAAGGGTCGACAAGTATTTCCTTTATGATGAAACTCAATGTCTAGGTTTGTAATTCCAGTTTCAGTATTATAACTAGAACTCTATTTTGCATGGAATAACAGTTGTATGTTTCAACTTTCAGTCATGGTCTGAAAAGGCTTTTAGGAGGTATGCTGTGTTAGAAACAGTTATTCGCCCCCTTGGGCTTAGATGTACTTGTGTTTACACGGGCTTAGATGGGGAATCAGGGATCATTTTGGGCCTGGCATGGAAGAATAAAGGAAGAATCTAAAGTGGATAGGAGAGGCCTAGCGCTCAGGCGGGGCTGAATCAAGAAAAAGTCGTAGGCAGATAAGGGAGGCCTAGTACCTAGGCTTAGTTCGGCAGGTTTTTTTAGAACACTGCATGCACCTTTAGGATTTCCTTAGTATTATTCTGAAAACTAGGTGAGTGAACTGAGCCCTCACACAAACCTCGTTGTAAAGTTCACTTATTTCACATAACCTATGAACTATTCTGCACTCCTGTAGAAATGTAAACCATCCCTGCACTTGCAGAGCTACTGAGCTACTACCACAGTTCTTCACTTCTTTTTTGCTGCAATGTTCAAACAACTCCAGCTTCTTTCCCCTTTTGATTAGATCAATAAAAACAGAATCTATAGAACAATTTCTTTAGTTTTTCTTTTGCTTTCTATATTTCCAAAGTAACAATATCTTCATCCATTTTTTTTGATTTTCTTCTTTTTTCATTGAAAGAACTTCTTCTGATTGTATATAGGTATAACTATATAGGTATTAGAAAGTTTTCTTCGAACAGTTAAACATGAATGTGTTACTGTGATTTATGACTTTTAGTTCTGACTTATTTTTTTTTGTATACACTATAAAAACCCTAGCTAAATAGCTGTTAGTAATAGTTCCTAAAAAAAGACAAAGGCTTCTTTGAGATGAAAAAAAAAACAGTCATAATTAAAGAAAATATGTGAATACACACTTTACATTCCTTTGGTACAAATCGCTTGTATGTAAATACTCATTTTACTGCTTTGTGTAGTTTTTGCTTACAAATCACTCTTATACATTCCTGTCTAGTTATAAGCCATTTCCATGAAAGTGGCTTCATAGTCAACACTCAACAACATTGCAGTCTTAGAAGAGTTGTCTCTCTCGTTGTCTATATCGCTCCTTCTGCATTTTTGTTTTTGCGAAATTGTTTAGTCGAAATGCGACTCCATTGTGTTTATGGAATATTGAACAACCTCAAATTTTCGTTTCAGGTCATGTCAAATTCAATTTTCATTGTCCTTCTTAGCCTTTTTTACTTTAGTAATAGTTGATAGTAGTTTAGGAACTGGCTTGCTATGAAGAGCACAGAGCAAAAGTAGTAGTATAGGTAATACTTAGATTTACTATTTCGATCATGAAGTAAGTAATTGAGGATTGAAGTATTGAAATAAGTGGAATATAACTCTTCCGTTGACTTCAAGGGTCAACTTGCCTCAGCATGTCCGTGTGTCTCGCTATGGTGCTATATTGACTATCTTTGTTGTAAAAATGTAATGGATCAGGACTTCCAATTTTTTCACTTCATAATATACTTACTGTATTGCTCTCTTTGGTTGTTTGTGCAGGCTAATAAGCATACAATTATTCTCATGCAAACATCTCCTAATAGAGCAACTCGCACTTTTATGGATTATGAGTCCATTAATCAAGCAATGGATGGTATGAGTTCTTTGGTGACAATTTTATATACTTAGTGTTGCTTCGCTGTGACCATGTACATCTTCACCTACTTTGATGATTCGGCTTTCTTTGTAGCATTTTAGCGCCATAAAGCCGTAAGCATGGGAACCGTAAAGAAATAGGAATGTTTAATGGCGTGGTGGGTGGCAAAGAGCCCCCGCCTTTGTGAGGCAGAAGTGTACATTTAGCAAAAGAAGGGAGTATAATGATAATGACTTTATTGAAATGTAACAAGAGCACTTTACGTATGAAACAGGTGCCCAAATAGTACTCCCTTCGTCCCAAAATTATTGTCCCGTTTGGTTTTTCACTCAGATTAAGAAAATGACACTGTAGCAACACTGTTTGGCAATGTAGCGACACTGTTTGACACTATAGCGACACTGTTTTGCACTGTTTGACACTGTTTGGTATAGATTTGTTTAACAAATAAGGAAGTTTTAGAAACGGGACAATTATTTCAGGACAGACCGAAAAGGAAAGCGGGACAATAATTTTGGGACGGAGGGAGTAATAATGAATGGCCAAAAGGTTCCAAGAAACCAAAATATAATATCCAAAGTAATAAAAACATGATTCCCTTGGCATCTATTATCTTTTAGTGAACTAATGACATATGTATTCTATAAACACCAATCTAGATTCTTGGATTGCTGACCAGTTTCTGTCATATTACTTCTCTATTCAGATTGATTTCCT